AGACTGTGCCGGGTCTAGATAATCAGTGTCTACCAGAAACCCTTGGAGTTGTGTTGCCACCACACGTTCCATGACCTTGCCCAAATAAGAGGCTGGTTTAGCTCGGTTACTCGAGAGGGGGCGTTCCGGAGCGATAGTGTCAATTGCCCTGGTCAATTCATTATTCCAACGAGAGACCAGAGCATCGACAGTATCACTAGCCAAGGAGGTGGAAAGATCCCCAAGAGCTGTTAGGAGTCCATTTGGATCCATAAGTCTCCTGGGGCGGACCATTCTAATGGGTCCACCACCCCTGCGGAGGTTAGGAGGCCCAGTTAGTCTAAAACTGATCAGGTGGTGATCGGTCCATGGCAATGGGGCGATGGTCGGCTCCTCCATCCCGTCACCCTCATCCCATCCCTGGACAAAAACCAAATCTAAAGTGTGCCCGGCACTATGGGTGGGACCAGATATTAGTTGGGACAGGCCCATGGTTGCCATGGCGGCCATGAAGTCCTGAGCCGCACCAGAAAGAGGGGCCTCGGCATGGATGTTGAAATCTCCCAAGACCAAGAGCCGTTGGAAGCTCAACGGCATGTCCGAGACCACTCCCGCTAGCTCAGGTAGGGAGACTGTAGTGCAGCGGGGTGGTCGGTACACTAACAGAATCCCTATCCTGTCCCGGTCACCTATCCTGAAGCCGGCACATTCAAAGGAAGATGATTGTGGGATGGGACACCTGATCAGTGGAATAAAGTCCTTATAGACCACTGCGACTCCGCCTCGCCGCCCTCCAAGCCTTGGCTGGTGCTGAACGGAATAACCTGGTGGACAGAGTTGGGAGAGATTAACCCCTTCCCCCTCGTCCAGCCAGGTCTCCGTTATACAAGCCAGGTCGGCTCGTTCTTCTTCGATTAGGTCTTGAATGATAGAAGTTTTTCCATTTACCGACATGGCATTGAACAGCACCACCTTTAGCTTGGAGGGGCCACCATCCTGGCACCTCAGTTGTATTTTGTCAGGAG